TCGGAAGGCCTCTTTGGCATCCACACGATGGTCTGAGTCTACCAGGTGCTCTTAAATGGAATCGTAAATTAGTACCATGTTTGACGCAAAGGGCGAAAAGGATCTGCTCGACTGACAGCATCGAAGAGGAGCTTAAGATTGTTGAAGGCGTGCTTCGACAAAATGGGTATCAGAGGCGATTTGTCGTTAAGAACATGACTGAAAGGCCGCTAAAGCCCTCAGTTGTAACAGCAGAGAAGAAGCGAATATTCACTAGGGTCCCATTGCGAGGGGACGGACCAAGCGGACTTCTGAAGAGGCGCCTGAGTCAAGCTGTAGCAACCACCTTTCCAACAGCCAACGCCCATGTACTGTTCTCGACTATACAGAGCGATCAATGACGAACTGTCGGCCCAGACCACCTCGGTGTGCATCTATTCATTTAATTGCTCCAGTGGGGTAGGATATATAGGTCTCACTAGCCAGCCTTTGACCAAAAGAGTACGAGAACACATTCCTGCACGGTTAGGGAAGGGCTACATAAAAAGTAAAAACAGTTCAATTTTAGCGCACCCGGTAGAGTCAGACCATCGCGTGGATGTCGAAGAGGTCTTCTAAGTGATCCGCAAGGTATCCTCAAGCTATTCAAAAATTCATTTGATAGCGTCTGTTGGCTACGACCGAAGCGGCCGCAATCCGGCTTCGTTGATCGGTCCAATGCGCCCAAAAAGCTTCGTGGCCACGCAGCAGTTACCATGGCCAAAAGCCGCTAATCCAACGACCAGCAGCTTATCACTTCGCTCGGCTACTAGTCCGCCCAAATGCTGCTAAGATGTTTGACCCCGATCCCCCGCCCCCACCTGCCCTGACAACCACACGATTTTTTCTATCAATCCGCATAGTTTTATCACAGGGGATTAAGTAAGTTAAAACCTAGCAACTGCGATCTTCAGACCATGGTTTCTTAATAGAGAAGAAGTCTTGAGAAGGCCAGAGTTGTAGGAAAAGTGTATTGTGTACACAGAGGAACGGAGGATAGATTGAAGAAATCTGACTTGGGAGCATGCGACCAGCCAGGAGAGCCAGCTGGGTCCAAATGCCGCTTGACAGCGGTCAGGCCAGTAGGCATAGAAAGCAATTCACGCGTGCAGGCTTGCTCTTGGTCGCCAGTGCAGAAGGCCTCTATGCGGCAACAGTGATTGACTGCTCTCAGACGCCGAAAACCGTAGTCGTGAGATTCTAGCGGAGTTCATTTCGATGCGAGCTGGTCACTACAGTTTATTTATTTGATTACCATATAGATGTAATGGCCTTACGAAAATTTATCGAAAAAATGTACGTTCGCCAATTTATCTTCTGAAAATATCAATGGGAATTTTCGAAAAATTGATCTTATCTTCAAAATCGTCAAAGTACACAGACATTCGATGCCGAAATACCTCATTCGAGTGCTTATTCAAGAGGTATCTTGTTTATAGAAAGCTGGTTCATTAATCCTAAGCATATGCATTCGCGACATTTGTCGTGAACGTTCATTTTCGTCGGTAGTGTTTTGACACGTTTGGGTGATTCAAAAACCATAACCCAAACAGGCAGGTACATAATAAATAATGTTTTAAACTCGTTATTTAGGTAAATTGTTTTAAGAAATTTCTAATTTTTAATGTTTCGGTAAGTACGTAGAATATAATTCTTATTTATGACCAATCGACTGAAGTCAGTAAAAATCGTAAATTGTTAAGTACCATTTCAAGAGCGATCTGAACCTCACCGTGATCGAAATCCCGAAAGACATGTGACGGAATGACATTCCTCTTAGTGTGCACAAAATAATATATTTACGATTGCACCTGACACTTACATTTAAATTGACTAATCACTGACCGGCATGCCCGCAGGTAAGCTTACGAAATATCTTACTCCTGTGACCTCCCAATCGACAAAATGAAGCGAAAATCTGATTGCCTTAGTCCAGCCTAAATCAAGCAATGTATAAACAGAAAATACAACTAGCAGTTTTCGTAAAACCGTGTAGGAATACATACTCAAACTTTGGGCTGTTCGGCAAAAGCTATACGTTACATTACACGTAAGATGCAATCACATGTATCCGAAAATTTTACAAAACAATATTTTTTCAACGTAGTTGTACTTGCGCTGATTTATTCACTCGTGGTTTTTTGCCTGAACAGGCTTTCTCTAAATTTAAAATTTCAGTTCCACTTTTTCGCCGTGGCAATGAGAACGCGCACCATAGCTATCGATTTTTCCTCATAGCTGATTGGTTCATTGTCGCCAACGCTCCCTCATTAAGCTGACTGAATAAATACCCTGCAGCCTTTTGTTGGAGTGACTTGCCTTACTTGCTCTGTGCGAATATAATTCTGCTCCTGGCCGACTGACTTATCTTGTTCCCCTGACTTGAAACTAGTGTTGGAGCAGCAACTAAAGCTGGCGGAAACCCTCACCGTGAAACTCTCCAACTCATCCACGGGTCAATTGTGTTCTGCTGGGAATTCACAATCCATCAATCATATCGCCAACAGCATCACTGAATTCTTGAACGACCACCAGGCCCATATTAATTTCAATTTCTGGTACAAACAATACGAGGACGTTTTCTTTGTCGATATGACTGCCCAGGAAGACGCTTGGAAGGTGCAACTTTTGCTCCGTAAACAAGGTCTTGCCGAGCACGAACGTTATGCTAATTTAATCCTGCTCAAGGATACACTAGACATTTCCTTCGCGGACACGTTAAAGACGTTGTCGCAGATTTTTGCTGAGCAGTCATCACTGTTCAACACTTGACTCTAGTGCGCAAAGGGGAATCCGACGATATTTTCACGTATGCCGGCATTGTAGATCGCGAGTGTGGGCGTTTTCAATTTGGTTCTCGCACATAAGACCAGTTTAGATGCCTTGTATTCATCTGCGGCCTCCAGTCCCCTCAGTTGCTGACATCCGGACACGTCTTTTGTTCCAAATTTAACGCATCAGCTCAGTCACCCTCGAAGAATTGGCTGCCGAATGTCAAGTGCTGATCAAT